CAAAGGCCTGATCTTTATACATCATTTTCCTACTAAATTTATGTTCATGCACCAACAAAGAACACTGCAAGGCATCTACTATTAATGTGTCAATGTAATTGGACTTCTCCCATAGTTCTTTGGAAGTTGCTTTTTGGGTTATGATCTTCAAAATAGTCGTATCAAAAATATTAAAAAAGGTAGTTCTTCTCTTTCAAATCTTCAGTTTAGCTTACTCTAAAGCCTTAGTATAAGAAGCAAAGAGTTCAACTCTTGCAGCCTGTTCCTCAGAGACCACAATCCAATACTCTTTGGATCGAAGCAAGTGCTCCATCAGCAAGCTCCAATAGTCATAGTCATCATCAAACTTCGTGATGCGAAGCTTGAATTCCCCATTCTTTCTCACACACAACACGTTCTGCAATTGGAATTTTCTCATTGTCCTCTCGTGTTTCACTCCCCAACAAGAGATACCCCTCACCAATCACCCTCACATTTCCCAAATCAAACCTCACAAATCACACTGATCAAAGTTAGCAAGTAGGCGCTGATACAACAATTATGTATTTTCTTCGAGCAAATTCTGATACTTTTATTGAATAATGAAAAATATCATAAGTACAAACTTTAGAGATGCAATTCTCAACTGACTCCATTAATCTCGGCTGCATCTAATCCCTCTAACATCCCCTAGTAACTATGAACCCAAACAAACTAGAATAAGCTGCTACAAACATTATCTTTAGTGACTCTTTAATCCTACAACTCAAAAGGTGCAACACTTACTCAAATGACAACAATAAGACATCAACTTTAAATGACATCACAAGAAAAACCATATGAAAGACACTACTCCTTACACAACAAAAGTGACTACCAACCCAAAATATTCATTTAACACCCAATACAAGACTCAAAATCGAAACTCGGATCCATACCACCAATTCAGAGGGACTGTATACCCCATGCCAGTTAAAACAAGGACCGTAGGGGGGGGGGGGCTGCAGTTTTCGTTTTTGTCGCCTACATACCGTGTGAGGTTGCTGAAATCAGATTGACCATTGGATCCCCCCACGATCCAGCGACAGACCATGCACCACCTCAGCGATATGTGCCTCTCCCACCCGAATTCTAGCCCCCAAGTGGTTTAAATTTCAAATGCAGAAACCGTGGATGGGGCACTGGATTCATTTTTGAAATCCCGCCAAACCGCCTCCGCCTGCCATGGTCCTCTGCCTATAAATGCAGCCCTCCCCCTCTTCATTTTCTCCACACCAAGCCTGAGACCTTCTCTCTCTAATATTTTCTCTTCACCCCCCCCCCCTCCAATCAAAACTTAAGAAATTTTCATATGCTCTAGTTGTGGCTAAGTCTGAACTAACATCATAAAACATTTCTTAAGTTTTTTCCTCCAAAACACGTCGAACCTCTATCCGCCTTCTGTAAAAAATGGATAAAGATTGTTACTATCAAGAAAAAAAAATTTAATGATGATTATCAAGCGGTACATACTCATTCTTCTCTTTATTTTATTTCTTATAATTCTCGTTAATTAATCTATATACTAATTAATTCCTTTTTTGTTGTGTTATCATAGATTAGTATGGGTGTAGATATATGATCTAAGATACTATCTTGACCAAGGGCCCCATGATGGAAGTGTTCTGTATGGCAAATCTAACCATCATTCAAGGGATGTTTGGAACAATTTGTGGGTACGTATAATTCATTTGGAATGTCATGTAGTACAGGATTGGCACATGGTCACGGGACACCTCCTCATCATCTGAGTCTGCATCTGAGCCTGAATCATCAGCACCTTCAAGAGGGTCGAAGTTGTCTGCACTGACGTTGCCTTCCTCTTCTTCATCTTCGCAATCACTAAATGGAGCTTGCAACACATCTTCCATGTCATCTAAATCATGAAAGGCACCATCTTCAGCTTCATAATGGTAGTTGTGACAACTACCACTGTCTACATGGAAGTTGTACTCGGGTTGGTACTGATAGCCTTCTTGGTGGTAGTCATGGTACCATTGAGATTCTTGTTCGTATGATGAGAAGATTTGATGATGATGGCCTTCACATCCTTGTTGGTACTCATGATACCGTTGGCCTTCTTCTTCATATGATGGGAAGGATTGATGATGATGACCTCCACCACCTTCTTGGTACTCATGGTAGGATTGATGAAAATGGTAGTCTTTGTAGGGATGATATTCATATACTCCACCCCACCGTGAATACCATATGTTTGGTCACCTCCAGGATGACATCCACCGCCTTCAACCCCCTTGGTACAAAGAAACTTCTCTGCTTTGAATATGTTATTGACATTCAGAAAATAGAGCATGGCATCAACTTTCTCCTCGGTGGTTAAGATCAACTCCTCATACCACAACGACCCGCCTTCTTTGTTTGGATACTGATACACCATACAATCAACCCTCCTCGTGCCCTCCATGCAAGTAACCCTAGTACACATATGACGAAAATCTTCAAGGTTCGGTCGCGTACCGACCTTCACTTTATACAAATCACCACCTACGATGTACCCCCTTTCAAGTCTCTTCCGTGTAACCATTCCACCGTATCAAAATCATGAATTTTTGACAGGCCATCTGCAATAAAACCATTTTCAAATTAACTAAGCGTAAATCATGACATTCTCTATAGTATCCTATAACACAACAAACATAATATACGAGACATTGGCATAATGTAGATTAATAAAAATGTAACCATAAAAAAGTAATAAAAATGAATACAAAACATACGTACGAAGTAATATAATTGCAAAAACTGAAAAAACAGTTGGGAGATGAACAGAAATTAGAGGAAAAAGGAGAGAGAGAGGAATTAGTGAAGTGTGCTGCCTTTTATAGGCAAAAAATGTGGCCTGAAAACGGCCATACTCCCCACAACAAACCACTAGAGATTGTGGCGGTTCTCATGCCACATTCAAACCTCACGTCTGTTAACTCCACCGCATATGTCGATATGTTGGTTGTCGGAGGGATAGCGACAAACACATAAACCGCAGGACCCACAATAATTCTATGTCAGCAAACCAGACCACCAGGCGTTGTGGCAGTTCGTTTTTCATAAATTAAAATAGTTGGGGTCCTGTGGTTCTTTCTAGGTCAGCCAGAGAACCACAACTATTCTCTGCGGTTATTTCACAAAATGAAAACAGCAACATTCCCTGCGATCCTTTTGTAAACTGCCACGGGATGATGCTGTCCTTGTGAAACTGTGGTATGGATGGAATTTTTTTTAAAGAAGGTGTTTTTGGGGGGAAAATTGCAGTCTGCAGAGTGGTGGGACGAGGATCTAATCATCAACATTCAATCGAACCTCAAAATCCCAACTAATTGCCCCAATTGTTGAGTGATGGGGAGCAGGAGGTGGCAGAGAATACGAGCTTAAATTGGGAACTTTTTTATCTACTCACTTACTAACTAAAATATTAATACAACTATTATTATTTTAATTATCATTCCTGACATAATGTTTAATTATTGAAGAAAATAATTGTGTCATAATTAAAAAATACATCAAAATTTTCTTCTTTATTATTAAGTGAAATGTTGAAATCAACACTAAATTGTTTAGTTCTAAATTTTCCACTTTACCAATCCACGATGACCAAGCTTCCTCTCCTCCTCCATCTAAATTCGTATCACCATTTTTTTATTTCCTCCATCTTCAAAATTGAATATGAGAATCGAGATCTCTTCTAGCTCGTCACCATCGTGGAAGGCGCTCCAGCTCATCCTAATTAACAATGAGTGTCGCCATTGTTGATGTGCTGCGGAGAGGAAGAAGCGGAAGGAGGTATTTTCAATTGGTTTTCCATTTGAAAGAAAATTGAAAATAGTTAAATTTTTTATTACAAATCTTTTAAATCGTCACATCATTTATCTAACAATTAAAGGTTATAGTTGATTGTCACGTACGATGAAGTTAATATAATTGGACGACCAATGATCAACAATAAAATAGTATTTGAAGTAAATGACTAACAAGAATTTGAAGGAAAAAGATTGATGACAAAAATTGGGGGGGGGGGGGGGGGGGGGGGGGAATTATAAACCGAGAATATTCCAAGTCAAAACTACCCAACAACAACAACAATCTTCCAAGTCAAAAGAAACCGCTAGCTTGTAAGTTGAAACTAAACTAAACAGAAATTAAGATGGCATTGAATGGAATAAGATCATAAGACCAGTCGACTTGGAAAGATGGGAAAGCAATTTAATGAAACGTCCCTGGCTGGCCGCACAGTTGGTGGTTGTCTCAAAGGAATTGTTTAATTTATACCTCCAGGATTTAAGCCAGATTGTCTGTCCTTTTCGTTTCAGATGCATGGGAAAGGGGCAAACTGCTCCCCAAGTAACCCTATTACCCTACACATTCAAGTCAAAACCACATCGTCATTACAAAATGCTAAAAGGAGGGCGGCCCTTGCTTGCCATCCATATTTGTTTGCATCTCTTTGTATGTACATAAGATTTTCAGCTCCTGGTTCATTCGCACACAATGTTGTCCAAGCTGAGTATGAAAACCTTCATCCTGAATCAGAAAAACATTGAAAAGCCATAGTTCCTGCAGCCAAGCATTTTGAAGTAGATTATGAAAGCTTTGATCCCATTGCAGATTCACCAGAGCAGACACAAATAGAGAAGACAAAAGATGAACCGCTGTTGTCATTAATCTCAAACTGCAGCAGGGTCATTTACATTTCTCATAAGAACCTTATCATTCACTGTGTTTTATGATTACAAATGAATTTACTGATGATACCCTAAACAAACAGGATTAACAATGAATCAAAAGTTTGTTGTATGTTACTTCTACACTTTGGAGAATATATTAGGGAAAAATTAATCAAACAACAAAAGAAAGAAGTAAAAAAAAGGGGGGAAAAAGAGCTTTTCCTCTATGTATTCACCTTCCTTCCCCACTCCTACCATCTTTTGGCTTCAGCTCCTTCTTCTGAATGGGTTGTTGTTACCATACTATACATCAGCACAATTCATGGGTGCATACCCAAGTCTCGACCTCTTGGTGTCATACAAGATATGGAAGTTCTGCTGCTGATAGTTCCCAATAATGGAAAGAGCAGACCGTGGAGTCCCCAGAATTGCCAAGCAAACAACTTCCCCTGGCTGCAGCCAGATGAAGTAGTTCTCAACCGGGAAGTTCCACGCTGCTCCGTCTGCAAACAATATCCCGAACTCGGGCAGAACAAGGTTGTCCACTCCGGAGACATTGTAACAAGGGTCCAGAACCGGTACACTATCGATCACCGGATAGCCTTTCACTTTCCTCAGGAATGCATCTCGAATGGTCTGATAAGCTGGCTCGGAGAAGTAGCTCAGCGTCGTACCAGAATCCACAATGGTACCGCCTGCACCATCAGCCGATACATTCCAAGTCTCTTCTGGTATGTTCAGAACCTCACCACCAACCATGATGGACTTGATCTGAACATAGTAGAACGTATCGACGAGATTCTCCTTCCCAGAGACCAAAGAAGTGAAATTCAACTCAGGGTGGCTCAAAAGATCCTTGTCCTCCCCAAATATCAACTTGCTAGTCACATTAGTGTCGCTATTCCTATCCACGAGACAATATGAGAAGGAATGGCCATACAGTGACTGAAGCTGAGAAGCAAAAGAGAGTGGCCCTCTCCCAAGTCCTAGCAAACCAGCTGCACCATGGAACAGCCCTCTATTCCAGTGGCCACAACCAATCATCACATTCTCAACCTTAGTAAACTCTGATTTTCCAGATGGGGAGGTGAGATTGACAGTGAAGGTCTCGAGTGCGAAATCACCCGTTGTGTTGGAGCTATCACCGTACCAGTAGAAATAAGGGCAGCTCTGGTTGTGATCTTTACAAGGCAAAGGTGGGTCTGGTGATGAGATCAATTGACATCTGGGATCACTGCAACTGATGTTCTTGAAAGAAGTTGAGTCTATGGGATCGTAGAGCGGCCCATTTTGCTCAAAACAGTCGTGGCAAGGGACGCATTGAATCCAATTGAGGTCACTACCCGTATCCAGAATTAAAGAGAAGTGCTTAGGAGGTGTACCGATGAAGACGTCCATGAAGTATTCGCCGGAACCCAGTGCCACCCCTGACCCCAAAGTCGCCATCAGCTGCCCGGAGACGCCCGACGAGGGCACGGCCGCCGCCGTCGCTGGCTGCTTCTCCACCACGCGATTTCCCTGCTTTGACTTTTCGTTTTCCAATCTGGAGACGGCATTCTGATTCTTCTTCTCCGTGATTCTTCGGTACAGAGTCTGAATTCTGGCCAAGTCCTGTGTCGCCGATACGAAGAAGGCTTCCTGCTTAGGCTTGGACCCGGCTGCGGAGGAGGATTCTTGTCCCTGAGTCAGCGGCCGGTGTTTTAGGTGGAGCTTCATGGTGGGCTTTGCCGGTATTTGATTTCCTTCTCCCTCTACGTCGTCTTCATCATCGTCGTCGACGTCCTCGTAATCATCGCCGGCGAGTTTTTGTTCTCCCGAGGACTTTGACTGGGTGGCTTTCTTGGAAGTGGAGAGGCTGCAACCTGAGGTGGAAGCAGTGGAGGCAGCATTGAAATTCAAGTGGTCGTTCAATTCGATTCCGGCGAGAGTAGAGAGGTTGGAATTGGCGCCGCGGCTCCGCCTGTGGGCATTGACTCCGACGAGGACCGCGTCAAAAGAAGCCGAGAAGAGCAGGGAAAGGACGAGTAGAACGGCTCCGAATTTCGTACACACCATGTCAAAACTTCTTCTGTCTCCCCCCTTGGTTGTTGGTTACCGAGAAAGTGAATCCTACATCAAGAAGAAGAAGAGAGAAGAAAAAGGAAGGAGACCCAGAAACCGGAAATGGAAATCGAAGGGCAGGGAAGGGAAGGGAACTGGGTTGCTGTGGAAACGAAGGAGAAGTGCGAGAAGCTAACTAGGAGAAGGCGGAAGTTAAGAAGTTGGAGTGGGACTGGAGCACAGGGAAGAGAAGTGAAGGAAGAGGAAATTGGGAAGGTACGAGTCTTTGAGCAAGCAGGAGGAAGAAGAAGAAGCAGGGAAGGGAAGGGAAGGGAAGGGAGAAGACAGACGATAAACTTTTGGGGAGGGTCGAGATTTCTAATTCGATGTTAGAAATCAACGTTTGGACTTTGAATGGCTACGCGGTTTTACTTACTGGCCTAAAAGAAAGAACCCATTGGGAGAGACCAGAGAGAGTCTTCGAGGGAAGGTGTGTCTCTAATCTAATCTAATGTAAGAAAATATTAAATAACTAAACGAGTACATTAGTTTATTTCACAAATTCGTGGGGGGTGTTGTATTGACCATTGAGTCATTCAAATTTACGGGGAGAAAATATGCTCTCATGGAAGAATGAGAACAAGCCTTTCTGTTATGTAATTTAATTATGTTTTAATTAATTTAGTTTGTTCATTAGAATTAGGATTTTATTATTGTTAGACGTGGGTTAGTAGGGTTATTGTGTTAATGGTTAACTAAAATTAAGGGGAGGGTTATCGGCTAACTCCCTAGATTTTAGTTAGATTAGCTATTGGTTTACTATTTAAGAATGTGGTTAAGGTTGAAGAAGGCAGAGAAGAAAAATGTAAAAGACGAGAGTCTTGTTGGAGGTTGGCTTTCCTCGAAAAAGCTTAGGGGTTCAGTTCTCGCCATTAAAGAGAACACTTCTTTTCTACCAATCTATCTATCTTTTCTCCATTATTCTTCTTCTAATCTCGTTCTTTCTTCCTGAATCTCATTAGTGCAAAAGTGCACGTAACATTTGGTATCAGAGCTGGTTGTGCCCAATCCACCTTTCTCTATCTCGTTTTCTTCACTCCCATCATTGTTGCCCTTCTTATTCTTCTTCATTCTCGGAAACAGCCTTCCTAATCGTTCTCTTCTAAATTCCGCCTACCCTACTCTTAGCTCTATCCAACCCCCCAATTATTTGTCCATCAAAATAAGCTACGATGTCAAACAAGGCTTGAAGATTGCAACCTTGTACGAGGCAAAGTTGCTGCCTCTTGGGTAGGAGAGATCCTTCACAGTCACATGAGATAGACATTCCACATCCAGCCGTCGCCGCCGATTCATCACCACCGTCCCATGCCTCCTCCTCCGCGACAACATACTATGGCCGCCCATGCTCGCAACTCAAGTGAACTGTTCGACGTCACTCACCGCTCCCTCGGCCTCTGCTCGCTGTTGGTTGCTTCTCGACGGAATCCATGGCTGATTCTTGAGGACAAGAATCTTCCGATGGGAGATGGAATGTTATGTAATTTAATTATGTTTTAATTAATTTAGTTTGTTCATTAGAATTAGGATTTTATTATTGTTAGACGTGGGTTAGTAGGGTTATTGTGTTAATGGTTAACTAAAATTAAGGGGAGGGTTATCGGCTAACTCCCTAGATTTTAGTTAGATTAGCTATTGGTTTACTATTTAAGAATGTGGTTAAGGTTGAAGAAGGCAGAGAAGAAAAATGTAAAAGACGAGAGTCTTGTTGGAGGTTGGCTTTCCTCGAAAAAGCTTAGGGGTTCAGTTCTCGCCATTAAAGAGAACACTTCTTTTCTACCAATCTATCTATCTTTTCTCCATTATTCTTCTTCTAATCTCGTTCTTTCTTCCTGAATCTCATTAGTGCAAAAGTGCACGTAACACTTTCCTACTTTTCCATGTCTATACGCCCACGCCAACCTTGAAATCTGGGGGGGAAAATTACCAAAAAGGAAGAAGAAAAATAGAAAAGAAAGGGTAGTCGTAAACAATTAAACATGCATTCCGTTGTCAATGTTAATTATGTTGTCAAACCTCTTTAACTTCTTATATTATATAAGAATTAATGGTCAAATCATTTTAGTGTCATTTAACATGGATATATAACATGGATTGTTATATTGTTCATACATTTATAAATTATATCAAATCTTATTTAACATATAGGTAATAATCAAGGTTCAAAAAGGCACTAGCCAAGCGTTAGGGTCCTACGGTACCTAACGTCTAGGACGCTTAGGAGTTTTAACCGATCATAACAATTTTACATATCATGACGGTGAAGAATAAGAAAGAAGATTGGGCGGGCTGAAGTTAGATACAAATGGGAGAGGAACTAAAGCAGTACATGTGGCGAACGTTGTTTTGGTTGTTTAGTGGTTGACCAAGGCTAATATTTGGACAAAGTACCGAGTCAACCAAAGTTGAAGGCAAGAAGCACTCTAGTAGCAGACGTTGAATTTCGGGACATGGGAGAAGTCGTTGCAATTCAAAGAGCTCTATTGATCTATTTTTATATTAAAATAAAGAAAGGTGGGATTGTAGGACAAGTGATTGGAAGGAACTACTCGAACATAAGGATGGCGTCATTTTGGAATATTTTAATTAATTTATTTATTTATTTATCTTTAGTTGTCATACCGCCTAGCTCTGATTAATCATGCCTAGCTCTGATTAATCATGCCTAACTCTGGCTAGGCGGTGCTTAGACTGCCCAGGTGTAGGGCTGAAAATTGGCCCCTAACAAGCCCTAACCCTACATGACCCGCCCCTACAGGGTCAACTTAAAAAATTGACCCGCCCCACCCTCATTCTTTCTTTAACCATGTCTGACCCGTTAGGGACGGGTCGGGCCAAGTAGAGACGGGTCAGAGGGTTGACCCTATCAATAACAATTGTTTTTGAAAAATTACACTTTGGTACCCAAAATTATATTTTCTTACAATTAGTACCTAATTTTTATTTTTTGTATAAATAGGTCTAAAAATTTTGGTGAAAAATTACGTTTTGGTACCTTTATATTTTGCCTCTTACATTATAGTAGCTAAACTTTTAAAAGTTTACAAACAAGTCGAATATGTTGGTAAGAGGAATTTCAAGACATTATGGGTCATAGGGTCAAAAAGTAAAGCGACACTAAACTGGCCCTGTCCGACCTTAACCCGGTCCTGAACTGACCCGACTTTAGAATGACCCTGTAGATAATCTGACCTGCCCCGACCCTGAGGGTCAGGGCGGGGCAAGGCTGGGTAGTGGGTATCAAGGGTCATGCTTACAGCCCTATCTAGGTGGAATTAGGCACCGGCTAGGCGTTTGAATGCCTAATTGTCTGCCTAGGTCCTAGGCGAAGCGTTTTCTCACTACCTAGTACCTAGGCGTATGCGGAATTACGCCTTCTTGAACCCTAGCAATAAAATATAACATTACACCAAAATAATTTGTACTCGATCCAACATATGTTGGGAATGAATAGTTTTGAAAGCTACAAATAAAATCTCAATTACCACATTGGTGGACAGAGCTTTGCAAAAGTTATAAATCAAATCTCATGTCGCTTGGGTTGACCCACTTGGTAGGACTAGTCAGTTGAAAGCGGATGGGTGGGTGGGTTGGGTTGGTCGGATATTTTTTTTTTTTACAAAAGATATTCATATATTGATACTGAAAAAAAGATCATTACATCACATGCCGTAACCAGGCTACAAAATCAAAAGAACGACTCGCTATCGGGTACAAAGAAAGGACCTTTCGAGCCACCAAATGGGCTACCCTGTTGCTACGCCGACCAACGAACCGAACACTAAACCCGTCACTCTCGGCTAGGTAGAGCAACACCTCACGGAAGATAGCTCCCGAAGTACTATCACTCCCCTGCGCCTGGTTAAGCCTGTCCACCACCACCTTCGCATCTCCCTCAAAACGAACCAACAAAATCCCTCGACTCCGACACCAAAGGATGGCTTCCCGAAGTCAAGCATACAGTTATCCATAGAGGTTATCTCCCCGTGACTATAAGTAGGAAGGGAGATCGAAAAAAATAAGGAGTTGTAAAACTAAACACCTGACGACTACATCAAGTTTTAATATTTATCTTAGCAACTAGTCATAGTTATATTTTAAAGGCAAAATACACTTTCATAGCCACAACTTTCACATTTGTGACAAATATAGCCACAACTATAGCAATACATAAAATAGCCAGATTTTAGCAACACGTTTGTCAAATCTAGCCACTTCCGTTAAAAAATTTAACACTGTTAATAACACTAACAGTAATATTAACAAAATGTTGATGTGGATGCTACCTCAGCTCCCACGTCAGCTTATATACGCCACGTGGCCGCCACATAAAATAAAATTCTAAAATAAATAAAATTCATAAATTAATTTTTTCTTCTTCTCTCATCTCCCGCGCTGCCTCCCTCCTCCTATCCTCCGCTCCCTCCTCTTTCTCTCCAACAATCCACCGACTTCTTGTACTCTTTCCCCCCTTTGTCTCCCCATGATAGGTATCGCGACGATTCCCCTTCCCACAGTCGCTCATCCTTCAGCGAGCCCATAACCAGAACCGGCAAGTAGATGGAACGCAGACAATCAATTGACCAGCAGATATGGTCTAGGAGATTTTGGTGGTGACGACAAATTTGGGACCCTCAACTGAGATTGAGGAGATCAATTCCGCACTGGCAATTGATGAGCCTAATCTCACTATGTTTCTCATCCTCCTCGTGGATTTGAGACCCAGAATCACTGAAAAGGAGTTCTACGATTGAGGATTTGGTCTGAGCCATGACCCTCTGCGACAAGATCGGGACGGCTTCCATCGGCGCCATTTCCTTATCCACCAACTCTAGTTGCACTAGGAAGGAGGATTTGTGACCCGCCGCTGCCATTGTCTGACTCGCACGAAACTACACCCGACTAGAGACCAAGTTTTTAAACTCTAGTCGGGTGCAGTATAGGGCAAGTATTTTATTATCAAACCCGGGTCGGTCCATGTACCCCTACTTCAATCGCTTAAGTTGTTATCTAGCAAAACGGTTTTGGGTTTAAAACTATGAAAACTACAAATGAAAACAAGCAAGGAAATTAATGGAGGAGAATTCTACTTGAGAGAACTTCACCTGGGTATTGCTCCCCCTAGTCTCATGCTAAGAAGCGACAAACAAGGCTCTAGTGTGAAGGACGTGTTCATACACCGCGAGGTGGGCGCAACTAGCTTGGGACAAACTCCCTTAGTCGATCAATGAAGGAAAATCAACAAATGTAAGCTAGGGGAACTAGCTCTCTTAACCATTAGGTCAAGAATTATGATTCATAGCTAGAGAGTCTAGCCCTCTTTATCAATCAACAAAGGAGATCCATAACTCTCTCTTAGTTAGCTAATTGAGAATCGTTGCAACAAGTTAGAAAGCTAACTCACTTAACCTTTCGGCTAAGGGTGACAACGATGGACTAGGAAACCTAACCCTTTCAACTAGTTAGCTAAGGATGGCAAACCAAACCCTCAGAACCTAATCCGGTCGGCGGAGAGAGTTATCCCGGTGGAATCACAACCCTACTCCAATATTTGAGATTTTGGTCTTAAATTGACCTAAAGGAGGTTACCCAAGTGGCTAAGGAGTCTAGCTCCTAATTGGACCAAGAGAGGATTTCCACCCTCTAGGTTAATTTCACCCAATATTGAGTTAAAGCTAGCACACTCAATCATTCATGAATAATTCCTCAAATATTATATAAAACACTCAATCAACACAAAAGGTTCATGTTCTTACATCCTAACACATAGAGAGACTAGGATTCACAATACCCAAGTGAGTAGGTAGGTTATTCCATAGCTAAACAAGAGAAAACAACAAGAAGGAGAGAAATAACCATGAAGTGATGTCAATCTTTCCTCCTTGGTGCTTGAGACACCCTTGAGATGAAGAAATCGTCAATCCTCTAGCTAGTAACAAGCCCAAAGCTCCTTCTTCCTCCTTTGATTTGCACTTTCTCACTCTAGAAGAAACCCTAACCTCTCACTAGAATCCTCTTTATTCTGAAAAATGGAAACCTAACCTAAAATGAAGCTCCCCCTTCCCTTCAACTCAAAACCCTTTTATACTGAGATCGGGACTAGTTCACGGCCTCTGTTCACGGCCATGAACACTTCAACGCGCCCGAAAACTCGGTGTGTTGCGACGAAACGCGCCGCTTCACTTACAGCAGTTCACGGGCAACAGATCAAGTAACTCCCTTGTCGTCAGTAACTTCTGGAACTTCGTTGGGTGCCTCGATGTTCACAGTTTGTGGTTCGAGTTCACGTCCTTAGGAGACCGTGAACTCCAATGCCAGACCGTGAACTGCAGCTGATTCCTGGACGCCTGCGCTTCACTGTCAAGGGGCAATTGTCACGGTATTCGGACTTTTCTTCGGTTTTTGCTCTTTTTGACCTCCAATTATCCCAAAATTAGACCTCGACCCTTCCACATGTGTTAGGACCTGAAATGTATCAAAACAAGCACAACCTAGCGTGAAATATGTCGAGGAACGATGAAATGCAAAGTCAAACTATCAAGAAATAAGGGGCAAAATGTGTACATTTGGACCCGAATCATTGTCGGATCTTCTCCATCTGCGGTTGGTTTATCATAGGCGGCGAGGCCAGTAGTTCGCCTTCCCCTGTCCTTCCTCTCCTCTCCGTCGTGAGGAGGCACGGCGAGGGAGATCAAGATGCAAGAATAGCCCACGGAGAGGCAAGGTTGCGAAGAGGGCAGCCACCATCGTCATTGATCAGCAAAGTGAAACAAAAGGGGGGAAACATATATGCCAGTTGGAGGAGAGAGAGAGAGAACGTGATGCATATAAAGAGAGAGGGGAGAGAGAAAATAAAAATGTTTGGTTTATTTTTTTTCAGTTAATTCCACCTCATTGTTATTGACGAATTTTCGCCAACTCAGCATTTTCCATCAATCCAATCATACAATTAAATGACACCGTTAAAGAAATAGACGGAAGTGCCTATTTTATGTATTTCAGCAATTGTGACTATATTTGTCACGTGCTATGAAAGTGTACTTTGCCTATTTTAAAACTCTCACTAATCACTAAACTTCAGTAGGATTAGGAATAACTTAGTCATCTTTTTCTCAACCATTTCAGCCAGCCAATTTTGCTGTACGGGGAACGAGAATAGTCCACTCGACACAAATTCTCCATGAAGACACAATCACACAAACGCAAATTGTTGACTTTCAGGGAATGATAAATTGATAAATGTGTGGCACGGTTTTATTCAGACAAGCAAGGGTTTGTGTCTTGGTATTTCTCATTGTTTAGAGCACAATAAAGAGGTGATATCTTGCGCGCAAATAAATACACATTTCTTCCTTTATGACTCGGTTCTTACGTCAAGGTAGTAAGTCATTTACTTTCAGATTGGCATCAAGTAATATATGTAGTTTCATAATACACGGAAGTCGAAGCTCCTATACCAGAAGACGTATGGAGGACATGCGCCATCACCAAGCAATGGCCTACAGCTTATGTCGAAATACTCTGTTTTCAAACGCACATATAGTCGCACAACATTATTTCTCCACTCTTATTTCAAGACATCTAGGCATTTACCTGCACCATTTGCTCATCCAGTAGCCGCCCTAGTCCTGCAACACCTGGAATTGTGGAGATAAGTACGACAAATCAGCAGAAGAAACTGACCAAAAAGCTTTCCCTCACAATTCTTCTTCCTTTGAGCAACAGAAGGAGGTTAAACAAGAGCATCTGAGACCTGACTGTTCTTCTACTTAGAAGTCGCGGCAACTGACTCTGCTGAATCATCTTGCAACCCACATACGAGATTTGCAGGAACAGCCACATCGATCATCTTAGGGTATGGAAGATTAAGATCTACAGAATAGCTTAATATGCTCAGGGTCACCCTTGGAATGGCTAGTTGACCACTGGTAGTCCAGAATATATGAGTAGTAATTAGTGTCACTTACTTTCCATGATGCTCTTGAATGTTTCCTGCAAAAAAAGGTAGTTAAAGAAGACAGCTTAAGCAAAGGGGGGCAAAGTTTAACAACTAGCAATGTGGACAAATTTCAAACGTCAATTGGTAATAGCTGACTCCCAGATACCTAAGTAATTGGAAACCAAAACGTTTATCCATTACCAAGTGCATCAGATGAATCAATTCATTATATCGACACAAACCTAAGTACTGATATAGTTGAAAGTATCAAGGTAGATTTCTCAAGTGACATTAGAATATGGGGCTAACAAAGATACCTCGCCTTTGGTGAGCCGGGGATTATATTGGATCTCCTCTCCAACTGTGCTGACCTGCAAAACAAAACGAAAAAAAAAAAAGGTTTGGGATTGTACATCCAATTGAATTAGTCGCTTTAATCACATTCCTCGGAGATGGTCCATACAGTGAATCCTTTGTAATCATGAGCAGGATAGATGTAGGTATCCTTGGGCAAGGTGAAGATCTGGTGCAATAGAAACCAAGAAAAACGTAACTACGACAGATACAAATTTGAAGGTTTTGAAAAGGATTGGAACCCCATTCTCATCGTCCCATCTTCTTGCCTGAGAATGCACAGAATGGTAGAGTTGATGCGAGCTCCCACCCTGCAAATAATTTGGCATAAGGCTCAATCTAGCCTATAAATGTATCTTTCAATACAAACCAATCAATAATTAAAGCATAAACATGCTCATTTCCAAATCTTCCAAGCACAGTAACATGAATAGACTATTAAGAGCGGAAGTCTTAATGTGGAGCAAAGAGAAACCTGAAAATCAGTTCGTCCACACCCCCGTATCAACAAGGTGTCCCCAGTGAATGCCATCCTTGGGGTTGGTTGGTCAGGACCATCTCCTGTAACATAGGTGACACAGCCCTGTGTGTGCCCAGGAGTAGCTCTAACCTGCCAAAAATTTCCACACGGGTAGGTATCTAAATAGAAGATAAGCAGCAGATACTAGAAGGTAGCTGCAAAAACAAATTAACCATGTTGAGTCAGGTTTGAGAGATCCCCCACTTACTCTTTTCCAAAGTTCACCACAAACCAGTGAGTACAAGTCATAACCTTGCGCGCTATTATCACAATTTTCCAGTAACAACCAAATTCAAGTCAAGAAGACACATGTAGCAGCATGCTTACCTCCAGGAAAAGATCTCCAAAGTAGATCTTGTCTCCTGCTTCAATGTGCATATCAGCTTTAGAATTGCTTGCTTTTGAGATAACAGACTTTACACCAGGAACCTTTGTCTGTAAAATAAGTTTCGAGAGATCAGCGGAATTACAGTGCCATAGAGCCACACAAATGGGAAATGCAGAGTACTGAAAATCGACAAATGAAACCAGCATCGACAAGTTGCAAACCTTTAGTAACCCAGTGCCAGTAATATGGTCAGCATGGACATGAGTGTTTATGGCGTAAATCAGCCTTAATCCCAAGTCTTTTACAAGGGAGATGTCCCTATCTACTGTCTTGTCTACTGGGTCAATCAGCTGTAGAAGATAAAGAAGAGTCAAATTAAGAAGGACGGGGCATGTGTAAATAAAGAACAGTTAGCTGGAACAACTTCAGTCAGATAACCCATTTTCCTGATTACACAAAAGATCAAAGAACAGGCCTATTTCAATTCCAAGTTTGAAAGCATAGTTGTAGATTATGACTGAGCGTAGACAGTATATGAAACTGTTTAGTCAAGGAAGTGGAGCAGATTCCATATCATAGTTACATCTTTGCAAACTACACATCACTCAAATTCCTAATAAAAGAACCTCCAAGATCATCAGTACTCATCACACACAGGCACACGAGCTAGTGTAAAGTCATCTTCCACATATCCCAGTTCCAGTCTCCTATGCCGTAATCAATTAAGCCGGTTCATTATAAGTAGCTTAAGGTAACTGCTAAAGCACGTTAACCCCACATCATCGCATCCATCAAACTGAGCGAAGATAATAAACATGAAAAGGAGGGAGCCCAATTTTGTTACCAGGGCAGGCTTGTCAGGGTGACCAACATCCGCGAGCAGGTAAGTGTAAGTGGAAGAATCCTTCTCGAAGAGCTGGCGAAACAAGAGCTTGGTGGTGAGGTCGGAGGAGGTGCTGAAATCCCTCATTGTGCTCAACGGAATCGCTCGGGTTCTCAATTGGGGGAAAGAGAAGGTTTGATGCCGAGGAGACAGAGAGCGCGGAGGATATGAGCAGAGGGCGGATAGCGAGAGGCGATGCAAGCTGACTCTAAGCATCGATATGCTGCGCTGAGCTGTCGCCCTTAGTTTAGTTTATCACGTTGCTGTCTGTTCTAATGATAATAATTCAATTCAATGAGAATTGAGAAGACGGGGTCGATTTTATCCGATCTCGAGCACGACGGAATCGGAAGATGCTGGTTTCGATTTCTTCTAGGAGTGGAGGACAAGAAATGGCAAGGTAACTTATAGGGAAGGGAAGTGACAACGTCGCCGTCGTTTGATGGCGACGCAGACAGGGGAGGAGGGAGTGAGTGTTGTCAGCTGTGGACTGAGTGTGGAGGAATGGGCTAATCTGCGTGCGCTGTGACTGCGATCCCGCCCCGGGGCGGTAGTGGGTTCTTGTCAACTAATTGTACTGGCTCTCTTTTCCATGAGTATTCGGTAGGATGACGCCGCAACCGATAGGAGAGTATTTCTTTTTTTTTTTTTTTTTTATACAAGGGGACGCTGATTTTCATTGTTGAAGTAGAAGCCAAAGGTTACAAAAGAGGCGAGACTACATCCAGAATCCGAACCCATTCATTGGGCAACGCGTTTCTGGCACAAGATCTAGCAACCCAATTAGCTTTAACATTGCTTTTTCGACCTATATGCGAGATTCTGACAAGGGGATTGGACACCATCAATTGCTTGATAGAGCAAATCCAAGCAAGCAGCTCTCCATGGCCATTCCTTCTGATGATCCTGCAAAGCTTTGACAAGAGGCAGGCAATCCGAATGGACAAGACATGTAGAGTGTAGCTTAGTAGCCATGAGAACGCCAACCAAAAGGGCCTTGGCTTCAGCTTCCAGTGGGGAAAAACAGTGCAAAGTCTCAGCCTTACCATCGCATACTTGACCATGGCTGTTCATAACAATGACGCCATATGCCGCCTCCTGGGAGTCACTGAAAATGACCCGTCGCAGTGTATCTCAAAGTTATGAGTACTCGGCGGTGATGAAGAAAGTTCTTGTGTTGGGGTGGGCTGAGAAGAGACATTAGTTGTGGTAGACTTCTTGGGGCAGGTGATCCACTGGTGGAGTGCAGTCGCTGCCTTCGCTATCATAGCTGGGGGCTAGAGGGGGGACTGCTTGAAAATCCTCTTATTCCTTGCTTTCCATGTTTGCCACAGGTAGAAGATAATCTTTTGGATAGAGATTAGAGAGAAACTGGGAACCATCGAAGAAAGCCATTCCAGGAGAGGGACGCCAGGAGTAGGAAGAGGAGTCGTTGGCCATTCCTGCCTCCAACCCTCCGCTGCATGATTACAGGTGAAGAGACAGTGGTGGATAGACTCCGCTGGATGAGCACAGAGAGGGCATGTCATGGATGGTGAGCATTTCCTGGCATGAAGGTTTTCCTTTGTGGCTAGCGCTCCCCTCGAACTTCTCCATAAGAAAAACTTGAGCTTCGGAGGTATAGAGAGGCTCCAAAGCCATTTCCATCTATTCTTACTCTCCTCTGAAACCCTGCCATTCGATCCTTGTGAAATCCTGGTCCGATTGTGAAAGATGTGAAATGCTGACTTCACAAAGAAGGAGCCCTGCTCAGAGAATCGCCATGCCCAAAAGTCTTCGAGGGACTCCGCGCCAATTGGGATGGCCATGATCTGTTTCTGGTCGTGAGGGCTCAAGAAATTCTGCAGAATATCAAACTTCCACTCTCTGGTGATGCCATCAATCCACGTATTTGCTGTGGACTGGTCAGGCCAGTTGAAGTCCAGAAGAGATCCTGCCCTATCTCTTCTCCAGGGGTCATAAAATAATTTGGTCGATTTACCATTACCAATGACCTTAATAATCCCAATTTCCATCCACTTCTTCGCTTCACACAGGCTGGACCAAATCCATGACGCCTTTCCCCCTTTCTTGGAGCTTAGGAAGTCCGAATTTGGGAAATAAATGCTCTTAAGTACCTTGACTCACAGGGCATCTTTGTTTGTCAGGATACGCCATGCTTGTTTGGCAAGCAAGGCCAAGTTGAAAGTGTGGAAAGGTCAGAATCCAAGGCCCCCCTCCTCTTTTGGGGCGTACATGACATCACCCGCCCTCCAGTGAATAGCTCTTTTATTCATCGAGCCTCCCCAGAAGAAGTTTTTCAACATTGAGTCCATCTTCTTAGTTGTTGCTTTAGGCAAGAGAAACAAGCACATAATATATGAGGGAATAGCTTGGAACACCGCTTTGAGGAGCACCTCCTTCCCCCCTGGCGAAAGGAGGAGGCTTTTCCACGAATCACCTCTGCTTTCCATTCTTTGAAGAAGGAAGTTGAATGTTTCCTTTTTGGACCTCCCCCATTTGGTAGGGACTCCAAGGTAGCTGGAGTGGCAGTTAGTGGGTGAGAATCCAGCTTCCTGGATGATCCTCCCTTGATAAGGTGTGGGAACATTGGAGCTGAAGAACATTGATGACTTGTCTTTGTTGACTTCTTGTCCTGTCACAGCCCCATAGATTCTAATGATATCAAGGATCTTCCCCGTTTCAGCAGTGGTAGCCTCCCCAAAAATAACTGTGTCGTCTGCAAACAGGCAATGAGTGAGTGTAGGGCAGTGTCGATTGATCTTAATCCCTTTAATATCCTTCATCAGGACTGCTTTCTCGATCAGGAAGGAAAGGGCATTCGACATAAGGATGAAGAGGAGGGGGGAAATGGGGTCCCCTTGCCGAATGCCTCGGGAGGGTGTGAAGGCTTCCGAAGGCTCGCCATTGAAGAGGAGTCTGAAAGAAACAGTTGAGATGCATGTGTGTATCCAGGAGCACCAGACCTCACTAAATCCATAGGCCCGAAGGAGGTTGATCAGTAGGTCCCATTCGACCAAATCATAGGCCTTTCTCATGTCGAGCTTCATCATCATTTCTTTCCTGTTACTGGATTTTTTTTTTTGAACTGGTTGAGTACCTCATGTACAATTATGATGTTGTCCTAGATCTGCCTTCCCCCTGTAAAGGCTGACTGGAGTTCATTTACCAAAGTCGGAAGCCAGGGTTGTAGACGGTTGGAAAGGATTTTTGTAATGACTTTGTACCTGAAGTTGCAACAACTGATTGGCCAAAACTGGCCGATCAGTTCCGGGGCCTCCACCTTAGGAATTATTGTGATAAAGGTGTCGTTCCAACCTGTAGGCATAACTCCTTATGTGAAGAAATCAGACACTTCTTGGCAGAAGACATCATCAATAGAATTCTAGAACTTCCTGAAGAAAAGCCCGGGGAAACCATCCGGTCCCGGTGCTTTATTAGCCCCGAGCTGAAAGACAGCCCTCCGGATCTCATTCTTAACAATGGGGGCACTGAGACTTAGGTTCATTTCTTCTGAGACAAGGCAAGGGAAACCTGCCAGCAGGTCCAGGTTAGGCAGTCCATTTTTGCTGTTGAACAGCTCATGATAAAAGCTATTGACATGAGATTCCAAATCGTACGCGTTGGTGATCCAGTTGCCGGCTGAATCCTTCAGTTTAAGGATTTTGTTCCGATTCTTCCTTCTAATAGTGCTTGTATGGAAGAAGCCAGAATTCTGGTCCCCTTCCTGAAGCCATGAGATTCTTGATCTCTGAGCCCAGAAGGATTCTTCTGCACTCCATAAATGCTCCAGTTTCATATGCAGGTTCCTCTTCTCTGTCACCACCATTGGAGATCTAAAAATTCCCTGGATAGCTTGGATTCTACTCCTGATCTCCTTTTCTCTCTTCTGTTTGGCGATTCTGTCATTCCTGCCCATATTTTCAAATCATTTTTACAATTGCTCAGCCTGTCGCCAACATTTCCCCCTTCCTGCCATCTTTTGAGAACAATATCACAGCATTCCTCGCTCTCCCTCCATCTCTTTTCAAATCTGAAGGGAGTACAGCGGGTGTGTCTTCTAGGATGCAGGTCGATCCTAATCGGGTAATGGTCAGATTCCACAAATTCCTCATGTGACACAGTTGCAGCTTCAAACTCAGTTCTCCACGAGGTCGAGCATAGTGCTCTATCAAGTCTTTCTCGGATCAAGTCATCACCTTGTTGCTTGTTACTCCATGTAAAGACTGGGCCAGAGAAACCTAGGTCAATAAGGGAGTTCCGAGCAATAAAATACTTGAAAGGGGCTACATTATCATTTCTTAAAGGACAGCGTCCCTGCTTCTCAAAAGGGAACGCTGCAACATTGAGGTCACCAACTACAACCCACTTGTCATCCACATTTTCCCTTAGGGTCGTAAGTCGATCCCAAAGAGCCCTTCTCTCTACCGCCGAGGTAGGAGCGTGAACAAAGGTGCAGAAAAAATCCACTCCATTCTGCCTAATACTAGTGTCCATAAAGGACTTACACGAATCCAGAACAACAACATCCACATCTTCCTTCCACCATAAAGCGAGTCCACTGCCTTCCCTACGCGGGCCAACATACTCCGAACACTCGAACTTCATTGCTCTTTTCTTCTCTTCCATGAATGAGTCTTCTTTCCTGGTTTCCATAAGAAAAAGGACAGAAGGGCCATATTGCCGGTAGAGTCTACCGCAGTAGCTCCTTGTAAGGGGTTTGCCGAACCCCCTACAATTCCAGCTCAATATCCTCATTCTGGGAAAGGCGGCTTAAGGCTTGCCGTCGTCGCCCTCGGAGTGGCCGATTCTCCTTCTCCGAATTGGCATCCTTCCGCTGTTAACTCAGCCAGACTTTTCTTCCTGATTATGTGCTTCCTCCTTTGGTAGATCTTCTTGTTCTCCCCTGGGGCAAAAGACAGACAGTCAAACGAGAGGTTAGATGGAGCTTCTTGCTGACTCATTGGGCTGGTTTGGCTTTGTCTGTGATCTGGCTTCCTTTTCTTCTCGGGCCTGGCCTCTTCCTCCTGTTGGGCAGCGACATTGGGCTCCATTGCCAGATCAAGGTTCTGGGCCTGGGATACCACCTGGGCCTGCTGATCCGCTATGAGAGGGGTGAGGGAGCCTTCAGTAGCATTATAAGATGGGCTTGCCAATGTAAGGGATTGGCCCATATCATACAGGCCCGTCAGATTTTCTGTGTTACCCACTTTCCCACTGAGGTCGAGGCTCTTCTGCATAGCCCTTGTCGTTTTTTCCATCTCCATCTCCAGAAAGGCATTTTGCAGGATCGGTGTCGGATTGACTTCCTCTCCTCTGTAGTTCCAGTCTGCCCCTCTTCCCGAGCCAGGTAAGAGTGCGTACCTAGGGGGTAGGGGAAAGGACCCTGCAACGGGAGGCCCGCGAGGGTGATTTGGGACGATTCGCCTCGAGATCCGCGGATCTGTTTGGAAGCAGGGTTCTGCTGTGTCAGGCGGCGCGATGCAGCCTATTTCTCCCTGAATGAGGCCGGAGGGATGTTCGCCGGTGAGTCGTGCCCGGCCCTGAGCGCGTCAGTGTAGACCTCCGATGGATCAATGCACAATCCCCTCC